GGGGAAAGGAATTGAAGAGATGGGAGTGAAATGGAAAAAAAAAAGAATCAAGATAATATACACAGGCAATAATTCCATATGATGAATGCTATCATTTTGTATATCCTAAATGTATAAACAAAATTACACTTGATCTTAGCCAAAAGGCCGAGAAGTGATTGTATCAAAAAAATTAATTTTAAAAAGAAAATGTATTTTCTTTTAGCAAAAAAATATTTTAGGCAGCCAAATTTATAATACTGATACTTAGAAAAGAAATATAATCATAGCACATTTCTGGAATCTGCAATATATTAGTTAAAATTCTCCATGGCATTTAATATACATATATATATTATGTATTATATATATATTACACATATATAATATATGTAAGACATATAATGTGTATATATTAATATTTAAATATAATTTAAGGGCAAGATTAGAAAATTTAGTTATAGTTGCAGATAGAATAAACCTATTAAACCTCTAAATACTGTAAAGATATTAATGTATTTAACAGAACACAGATATAAAAAGGGAAGAAGAAAAGAAAAATATGGGATTGGGTAATTTCAAAATTTTTAAAGAAGAATTAAGAGAAGATATGAAATAAATGTAATAAAAATTACAAGGTCAATTATATATCAATGGCTGAAAATTAATATAGTTATTGTATGTAGGGACACTATAAGTAAGGTAAATCATTATCTTCCAGATTGGAAATCAATTAATGCAATCTATAATTTAAAAATACAAAACATAATCTTGGGTCTTTGGAAGAGGTTCTGATCTAGTGAGCTTTCCCTTATTAAGCTCTTTTTCTCTATGTAATTTGTATCATGCACCTTCAATGTTAGGTTAGAATACATATGTGTCTATTTAAATAGGAGAAAGGAAACAAAAGCTAAAATCTTTCTTTTTGCTCACTTTGGGGCATTCATGAATCACAAGATAAGGAGGCTCTGCTAAGTGGATGGAAAGAAGTGTTTTCTGTAAGGAAGAAGCCTGCAATTGCTGCTGTAGGATGGTCAGGGCTTTCACAGTTCCTTAGGTGTGAGGAACTTTCCTTGCATGTTTGTGATTTTCAGTGCTGCTGTTTGGTGAGAATGACAGCAGCTTCATGGATAACAGACAAAAGGAGGTTGTCCAAGTGTCAACAGTGTGTCACTGTTCAAGTACTTAAGTTTCATTGAAGTGTAGCATCATTGTCAAAGGACAAACACCATGGTAGAGAGTACAATTCCTTTCCCAGAGTGAGTACAGCTGTGTGATGACACCCAGGCAGAGTAGAAGAAACCCAACATTTCTGGGACCACAGAAGCTCCCTCTGCCTGTTTCCAAAGTCTTCCTAAGCACCAATGTTGACCTCACTTGAATTGTAAATACTATGTATATTCCTGCTACTTGTATTTCAATTTATTTTAAGAATCAGCTGGAACCATGTAATTTTCAGTGTTTGGATTATTTTATTCAGAAAATTTTTCTGATTATATGCAAGTCATTACATGGCATTCCATTTTATGAATATATGACATTTTTATCTATTTTCATTGTTATGCATTTAGATTCATATCTGATGTGGACCTATCAGAAAAAAAATGCTGCTGTAAATATTTGAGAACATGTCTTTGGGTACATAAATGTGTACATTCCTGTCATGTCTATTAGTTCATCTTCTCTTGCTGAAACAAATATATATGAGACAATATACTAATAAAGAATAAACGTTTAAACAAATAGAAGTGTATATGGTTCATGGTTTTAGATGCTAGGAAGTTCAACAGCAGGGAACCAGCATCTGCTGACCATCAGAAAAGGCCTTGCTCTGCATCGTAATAAGGTGGAGAGCATAGTGATGAAATTACAGGAGTCACTATTATAATGCCACTATTACTGGGGAGGGTTACCCTTATGAATTTATCTGATCTTAATTAATTCCAAAAGTCCCCACACTCAAATACCACTAACATATAAAATTTGAGGATTGAATTTGCAATGCATGAAGTTTTGTCACAGGCATTTGAACCACCAAAAGGAAATGGAGATGCTCGGTCACAAGTCGCTGGAGATGTGCACGTTCAGTTGTAGCAGTTTCAGCCTAAGCTTTCCAACTAATTCAAACTCATTTGTGAAATGTTTGTTCATCTCTTATGCCCTAGTTTTAATTGAGTGATTATTTTCTCCATTGATTTCAAACTATAGGTTGCATTGTAACAGCTACATTATAACATAAAGGTGCAGCAAAATATCTGATCCACAGAGCAGTCTGATGTGTTCCAAAGCAGAACACTCAAAGCAGAACCAAAGAACACCAAAAGGTTCCATACTCACAGTCGTTCTAATTTCTGAAGTTCACCAAAAGTCTCTGACTGTAGTGTTTCTAGTTGATTAGAATGAATATACCTGGAAAACAGGAAGTTGAGTTGGTTATTCTTTGTGCTGCTGAGTAAAATAAAATGTTTGAGGAATTAGCAATAGCTTTAGCTGAAATAGTGAATTTTGCTGGCTCCATCCATCACACATCAGATATAAAAACTGAGAGCTCAGAGATGTTTTAATCTCTTCTGCTTCTCACAGCCCTGGGTCTAAAAACCTGATGCACAAAAAGGGACCCTAATCCCATCCACAACAGGTCATGATACACTTCCTTCTCAGGTGATGTCCTATGTAGAAAGATGTAAAATAGTCTGTGAAGTCACTTTTCTACTCCTCAAAATTTAAAGTGAAGCTACAGTTATAGCTAAATTGTAAATACTGTAAAACACATTAGCATTGCCTGGCACCTGAGGAGCTTGGCCATCACTCTCCGGTGGGCATGCCCCTTTGACCTGGAGCCACCACTAAGGCACCACTAGGGGAGTGATTGTGTCTGTAAAACACATTAGCATTGCCTGGCACCTGAGGAGCTTGGCCATCACTCTCCGGTGGGCATACCCCTTTGACCTGGAGCCACCGCTAAGGCACCACTAGGGGAGTGATTGTGCCCTGTCCCCTGTGAACAAGAGAACAAAGGCCTCTCTGAGACTCCTAGATGAAAATTGAAGCCCACTGGAAAAGTGAAGAAAATCTGCCATACAGGCACACCAGACCACCATAGTGGTAAGTTGGAGGGACAAGCACACCATATTGGAACCTGGTCTAACTTCAGGGGAAAGACAGTTGGAACATGCAGTAGAACCTTGTGGAGTTCAACCCAGCAGGAGAGCAGAAATCTCAATTTGGGACTTGCAGCCAGAAATCAGCCTGAACCTCAGGGGACAGCTGCTGGCTTGCTGAGACTAATCCTGCCCACACTGTCTATTGTGTCAACAGAGGCATACCCTGAAGAAGGCCCTCTATTTCTATTGGTACTTTTTAATTTTTCACTAATCTTTAATTATTTAAAATATTTTATCTGTCTTTTTCTTTTCTCAATTTCTTGTTCCTTTTTTAAATCATCTTTTTCTTTTCTGTTCTCTCCCCCCACCTTGATCTCCATCATTCTCCCTTTTCTGTTCTTGTTCCTATCCTAATTTGAATTTACTTTCATTCTTTTCACTTTCTTCTCTTTTTCCTTCTCTCAGTTGCCATTAGATTTAACAGAAAGTGATTACAGTCTCTAGCCTCCCTATTGCTGTTAGTTTTTTCTGTTCCTGGGAATATTTTGTTCTATCTTCTCATCTCTTCAACAGCTTCCTAGAGTTTATGTGATCTTCCTTTGTCCTCTGACTTCACTTCTAACCTTTCTCTATCCTATCTATTCCTCCCTCCAGAACTCCTTTTAAATTTCCATCCTGAAGAGTAAAGTTGCTATATTGAAGAGTTTGTTCATTATAAACATATATGGGGCTGGTTCTCAATTTTTATTTCATTCACATGGTTAAAGGTGATAGATTAATAACTATCACAAATTGTCATTTTCTAAGCTGTGCTTGATGATATTGTGTTGCTGATGGTATCACTTGGGCTATGGTGTTGTGATTGATCTAATCAGTTTTCCGCCCTGGAATAATGAAAATGAGTTTGCCTCAGAGATATTAGAGACAGAAAAACTAAAGACCTTGGGGGAATGAGGTGAAGAAGTCTGACTGTCAAACATCTGTACACCCTGAGCTGTTAACACAGGAAGTAAAAAAAATAAATAAATAAAAAATAAATGAGGCTCTGGATAAATTCAAAACAGGAATTATTTTCCATGACAAAGAATACTTGAGTAATTTCATTAACACCAAACCAGCACTCCAAACAGTTCTAAACAATATCCTGGAAAAAGAAAACCAAGACCACAACTCCATAAGGGCCAACAGAGCAAAAACACAGGCAAGGCAATAAGTTAAAGGGAGTTGGGGAAAAATAAAAAAACATAAAAGAAACAACAGAAAAATAACTTGACAATGAAAAGTCAATACATAACAGTTATATCCATCAATATTAATGGCCTAAATTCACCAACCAAACAGCCTGGCAGAATGGATTAAAAAGCAAAATACAACAATATGCTGTATACAAGAAACCCACTTAATACACACACACACACACACACACACAGAAATCATAGACTGAGAGCAAAAGGATGGAAAACAGTTCTCCATGCAACAGGAGCCCAGAAAAAAGTGGGTTTAACTACTTTATTTGCAGACAGAAGAGATTTCAAACCAAAACTAATTAAAAGAGTCAAAGAAGTCCACTACATCCTAGAAAAAGGGAAAAATACAAGAGGAAGAAATGACAATCATAAATATATATGCTCCAAATACTAGTGCCCCCAACTATACAAAACAAATATTAATGGATAAGAAAAATGAAATAAGCACTAATACAATTGTAGTGGGGGACCTCAATATTCCACTGACACAAATAGACAGATCATCTAGGCAAAAAATCAACAATAAAATAACAGAACTGAACCAAGTCTCAGGACAAACGGACTTTGTGGAAGTCTACAGAGTATTCCACTCCACAAAATCAAAATATACATTCTTTTTAGCTGCACATGGGTCTTTCACCAAAATAGACCACATGCTAGCTCATAGAACATGATCAAGTAAATGCAAAGGAATTGAAGTTATCCCCTGTATATTATCAGAACATAGTGTAATTAAACTGGAGATGAATAACCTAAGAAACTGCAAGAACTTCACAAACACATGGAAATTAAATAATACCCTGAAGAACAACCACTGGGTCACAGAGGAAATTAAAGAACAAATTAGTTTCTACAATTAAATGATAATGTCAATACAACATACAGGAATCTATGGGGCATAATGAAAGTAGTTCTATGAGGGAAATTCATAGCAGTGAATGCCCATACTAGAAAAACAGAGTGAGCTCAAATAAATAACCTAATGCTTAATCTTAAGCTCCTAGAAAAAAAAGAGCAAGACAAACTGAAAGTCATACAAGGGAGGAAATTATAAAGATCAGAGCAAAAAAAATCATTGAATCAAAGAGTTGGTTTTTCAAAAGAATAAATAAAATTGATAAACCCTTAGTCAACCTTATCAAAAAAAGGAAACAAAGGGCTTAAATTCTTGCAATTAGGAATGAAAAAGGTGAAATCACAACAGATCTACCAGAAATCCAGAGGATCATCAGTACCTACTTGGAAAACATGTACTCTAATAAAATGGAAAATACAGAAGAAATGGACAGATTCCTAGAAACATACAAACTTCCAAAGTTGAATGGAGAACATATAAAAAGTCTAAGCACCCCAATTACAATCAGTGAAATTGAAATGTAATTAAAACATTATCAACAAAGAAAATAGCAGGCCCTGATGGCTTCACTGCTGAATTCTTCAAAACCTTTATAGAAGAAATATTGCCACTACTCTTTAAACTCTTTAATGACATTGAAAGGGAAACAATGCTTCCAAATTGCTTCCTCCAAGTAAGTGTTACTTTGATTCCAAAACCAGGGAAAGACCCAACCAAAAAAGAGAACTACAGGCCAATCTCCCTAAAGAATATAGATGGAAAAAAACTCAATAATATAATGGCAAACAGAATACAGAAGATCATCAACATTACATGCTGACCAAGTCAGTTTTATCCCAGGGATGCAAGGATGGTTAAACATACATAAACCAATAAATGTAATACACTATATTAACAGAATTAAGAACAAAAACCATACAATCATCTCGATAGATGCAGGAAAAGCACTCAACAAAATTCAACACCCATTCATGATAAAAACTCTGCAGAAAATTGGAATAGATAGTCTTTGTCTCAACCTCACAAAGGCTATCTATGAAAAACCAACAGCCAATATCATTCTACCTGTCAAAACCAAAAACCTTCACAGTAAAATCAGGAATAAGACAAGGATGTCCACCATCACCATTCCTGTTCAATATAGTTCTAGAAACATTAGCCACAGAAATTAGATGAGAGAAAGAAATAAAAGCAATAAAGACATTGTCATAGGAGAAGACTTTATGAACAAATACTCCACATCATGAGTACTTGCCAAAGAATAAACAACTGAGAGCACATTGTATTAAAAAGTTTTTGCAGGATGGGGATTTAGCTCAGTGATGCCACCATCTGCCTCACAAGCACAGGGTCTTAAATTTGATCCCTGGTATCAAAAAATAAAATAAAAAACAAGAAACAAAAAAAGTTAAAAAGATTCTGCAGTGCAAGAGAAATCACCAATAGAGCTAAGAGACAACCTACAATGTGGGAAAAAACTTTTACCACCTACTCCTCAGACAAAGGACTAGAATATAAAAAGAACTCAAAAAAATCAGACCCTCCCCCCAATACAAAGACCTGATTCAAAAATGGACATTTGAAATGAACAGACATTACTCAGACAAAAAAATAAAAGCAGAAAATAAATATGACAAAATGTTCAATATCACTGGTCATTTGAGAAATGCAGATGAAAACAACACTGAGATTCCACTTTACCCCAGAAAGAATGGCTGCTATCAAGGAATCAATCAATAACAAATGCTGGTGGGTGTGTGGCTAGAAAGGAACCCTTCCCCATTGTTAGTGGTAGTACAGACTGTGGAAATCAATATGGAGATACCTCAAAGAACTAGGATTAGAGGTTCCATTTGACCCATATATCCCTCTGCTGGGTATGTTTCCAAAAGAATTTTAAAAATCATACCAAAGTGATATACATGCACCCATGTTTATAGCAGCAAAGAAAAAAACATGAAAAAATGAAAGAAAATGGAAATAAAGTATTTGTAAATAGGAGGGGAGGAGGGGGTGAAAAGAGGACAGGGATAAGGGGGAAAAGTGAGAACTAAGTCCTGTCCTGTAAAGGTACAAGATACCAATGACAAATGTAACTGTACTGTATAACTAAAATGTACCAATAAACTCAATGAGGAAAAAAAAACTTGTAAACATCCCAAATGCCCATCAACTGGAGACTGGATAAAGAAGATGTGGTTT